TATATATATATATATACAAGAAGAAAATTTTTGTCAGCACAAACACTAGGGTAAAGGGTACACTGCGCGAGAAAAACGATGTTTGTTAAACTGATTAATCCCTATAACAATTAATTATTTTTGATAATATCTAATATGATTTTATTGCTTTCATACATCATCCATTATTTTTCTTTTTTTAAATAAATTTTATACGTTAAGTATTAAATATAGTGTGGCATCATCAAAGGTTACTATAAATGTTTGCCTTTTTTAGTGTTTTATACATGTATGTTTCATATGTTGTTTTCTAATCGAAATATTTTTCGTCGCTTAATTGCAATATACCTCTAAAATAAAAAGTAATCAGAATCTGGAATGCTACTAACAATAACGGTACAATAATATTGAATATGTATATGTTAATCTAAAATTAATCAGATTTAATTGATGTAGATAATATAAAAGCTAATGTATTAATATTTTTTTATACTTATTGTTTACTTCTTTTATTTGTTATCTGTTATATGTGCTGTTAAGTAGTATCTATATGTTGTAAACTGCTTCTTAGCATGAAATAATTGGACTTTTTCATTTACTTATTGCACGACTAATATATCTTTTTCATAATTGCTTTCTAATGTAAGATAATGAAATTTTTTTATTATTTATCTACTTACAATGTACTATTATTATTATTGTGGTTTTTTAATTTAAGATAATGGATTTTGGATGTATAGTTTTATGCAATTAATTGCAGCATGGTTAGAAAGCATGTATTTTTGTTTAATTGTATATTAGATTTAGAAGAATGAAAGACAATGCAGAAAATATCTTTTTATTAATAAGAAATATTTAGTAGAGTATATAACGTATTTCTTATTAATAATTCACATTATTATGTGCTATCTTTCACAGATTTCAAATTGTTCTTCCTGATTGCTTTATTGGATAAATATTGAAATTTTGAAAAATTTAATATGTAATATTTTGTTATTTATTATTTATATAATATTTGTTTTTATTTATTATTACGTATAATAGTTATCTATCGTACTCGCAAGGGAAGAATAAATACATAGGATATATGTATACATATATATATGTGTTGTGTTATATATATTTTAATATATATTGTCAATTTAGTATGTTACGAAGAATTGGCAACGTACTTTATTCATTCTATTAATGTAATCTTTCAGGGTGGTTCAGGAAAAAAATAACTTCGAAAAATAAACTACGCTAGTGCAGTGCGAGTACTGGTGGTTAAAAAGATGGGATACGCAAATGCTAAAAGCGAATGCAGCATTGCTATATAGGTATAAATGGCATACTTTGCTACTCAGAAGACTAATATAAAGTGAAAATACTACGGATAATGTTTATTGTAAAAAAATATCATATTTTATTATGTGGAGAAAATATAAATAATTAAATTCGTAGCGATTAAATGGGAAAACTTAAAATACTTGAGTATGTGATGGTTATATAATTTATAATTACAAATAGCTATGATGTAAAGGTTATCAAAATTGTAGATCATCGATATTGTTTATAGAATCTGATAGCTATAACAATTTGTAAATTTTAATTCTGTTATAAGACGTATAAGGACATAAAAGAATATTGAAGAATATGTTCTTGCGACGCAAAAAATTGTACAATTAATTAATTAATGGATTCCATGACTTCATGATTCATTGTGTATAACGATATTGATTCTGATATTATTTCTGAGTCATACTGTTATTAGTGTTTAACATCTTTTTTCTTTTTTTATCATTAGACGCATGGACCAGAAATTATATATATATATATATATATAAATATATACATATATATGCATAATATGATATAAAATATATATAGCATTTTTTGTTATCAATAGCGAACACAATACACCAAATTTGTAAAATGCAATCTTCATGTTCCATTGTATACAAATTCAAATTTGTTATTCGTTTTACGTGCAATAAGGAAGTAAGGCGAGAGTTTGAACGAGCCAGTCTTATACATATATATACAAATGTTAACTGAAATTAATTGCGCCCAACAATTGTATTGAAAACAACTACTGCATACTTGAAACGGATTTTCATATAGTTCACTTACAGACTTTTATTATCAGATCTAAGAATATATTTAACAAGTTCAAGTTAACATACAATTTTAGGGGCATTTAAAAAATTATGCTTGCAATCATTTATATTCGTATTTAATTACGCTTTAAACAGTTTATTAATTGGACAAGCCAAAATGTTCCGTATTGTTGGAGTAGTTCTATACTCTAGTAGAACTTCGGAAATGATTTTTTTAAATACTTGCTTGCATGAATATTTAAAAAATACTGTGTTAGACGTTAATAATACACTTAAAGAGTTCTTTGTTCACTTGTGTAATCGATTGGTTGCATAAAAAAGAATAGTTATTGTACTGAGTTTTGTAAGAGGCATGTATGTTTAGTACACTGCGTACTTATTTACCGTTTTGTATCTAGAAAGCATATTCATAGTTAATAAAAGTTTACTGTTTTACTTGATGCTGAATGTTATGCAATCTCGAAAAGTTTTTCATTTCATAACATTTTTTTATTTATTAACATGGTGAATAATACCTTTAAATAAATATCCATTTATTGATGCTGATACATATGTACAATATATATAGTTAAAGTATAAAATATGATATACATTTTGATTCATCTATCGACTAGTTTAAGTAATTAATTCTAAAAGTTGTACTTTCAGATCAAATTTAATAAGACTTTGAAACTAACATTACCATTTTTTATTTATTATGAATTATCTTTTGAATTATCTATCTTGAGTTATCGATAAACTATACATCATTTTAAAAACGATAACGTTTAATGATAGGGCGCTATAGCTATTATTAACAACTGTTTTCACAATATATAGCAGAGCTAGTAAATTTCTGCAATTTTGGTCAATTTTATAATTGACTTTTATCATCTTTATTACTTGCATCTTAATAAGCAATCGAAATGATTTTTACAAGATGAAGGGATAAGCCGGTCTCATTTAAAAATTAGACATCTATTTAACAACTCGTTAAGATGCAAGTGGTAAAAAAAGGCAATAGATATCATCTTTGAGGAACAAAGATTACAGATATTTAGTAGATTCATTATATAATAATAAAAAATTATATTATACTAAAATTATACTACATATTTATATACAGCATATACAGCATTTCCGAGCAATATACACACTTACTTCCTTTTTAGGATGGATATCTTACAGATAACTAAAAGAATGCGTGACAGGTATAATATTTTTGATATTTAGTTTTGTAATTCTATATATTTGTCTCTTATTCTATTCAGGTAAATACAAACGTCCAAAACATAAAAAAAAATATTGTATAACCGTCATCTAATGTTTAACATAATGTGTTATTGGAAAATATATTTTTACCTCCATTAGCGTCAAGTTGCAAAATAGATTTACAATCGTTCATTTAATAGTGATAATGTAAACCACATTTCAATATCACAGGTCGAAATTTTGTTTAACAATAATTTGTCCGTTTCTTTAATTCAGCATTGTTTGCAGAAATCCAAGAATATAACTACCTAAATCTTCATCCTGATTAGTCCATGAAACGTAAACACTCTTTTGGTCATCTTCATCTCCTTCCACCTTTACTAAAACAGACTCGACTGATATAGAACCGTCCGTTAATTGAACCGTCCATCCGGATAGTCTTTCTTTCAATGGTTGCAATAGTTTTAAGGTAGTAGCTTGCGCTGGACCGGGATCCCTTACTTGTACAGTAGATGTGAATCTGACCACATGTTTTGTGATACCTGCAGCTTTTGCAACCTAATCAAATACAAAAGCAATAATCAATGCATAAAATAACAACTGTTATTTCCGATAAAAAGAATAACAGTCACGAATTAAACAGTTATTATGTGGAAGATATTACCTCATCCGCATCTACAAGACAAACACCATCTTCTCTCAACATCAGGACACTGTGAAGCAATCTCCGTCTTTTCGGATCAGGCGGCAAGGCCGAGTATCTCTTTGCTTCGGCTTTCAGCAATGCTAGAGAAGCATCTACGGGAACTTTGGATGTGGTCGTGATAATACAAGTTTCGCCGTTTGCAGGATTATAGCAACTAACGCCGAATTCTTGTTTGATTTTCTCCTTCAAATATTCCATCTTAGCGAATTCTCCATGCACCAGCATAACATTCTTCGGTTCACAATACTGTATCAACTGCATTATTCCTTTTGCATCAGCGTGAGCAGAAAAGGACATGTACTCCACGGCCATCTTTACCTCCACGATCTGTCGATTCTCGAACTCTATTCTTCGCGTACCGTTTAAAACTTTATGCCCCACGGTACCTTGTACGCAAAAACCTGGCATGATAACCATGTTGGACTCGTTAGGTGCCCATTTCTTAAAGATCTGGAGAGAGAGACCGGCGTGTAACATTCCTGGCGTAGCAAACACCACCATCGCACCTGGATTATCGATATACGCTTTATCAAACGGTTTTATGTGCTTAAAATCAAACATATTCCGTTGTACAAACGTTTTTTTAATTTTCTGATTAGTCCAGGTGATAAACATTTTATAATAATTGTTGGCCTTTTCGGTTAAACCAAGTGCGAAATAAACTGGTACTTTCAGATTCATTCTTTCCCAATACGTTTCCAAAAGTATACACAGTTCTTGGGCGCGACCGAGAGCGAATACAGGAATCAGCACCTTTCCACCTCTGTCAATGCATTCATGTACCTGAAACATGATTTTAACTTCTCAAAAAAATTGTCCAACATGAATTAAATTATTACCAATAATAATAAGCCGAAAACATACTTTCTTGAGGAAATCTCTTTCCCTGCATCTTTTTGAATCTCTAATCGTGGTTGCATATGTTGATTCTGAAATTAACAAGTCTGGCCTGCATTTGTCTATCCATGCAGCACCTAAATGCCGATCCGGCGTCATATTATAGTCTCCTGTGTATACAATAGATTGTGATCCTACACGAACCCAAAACATGGCTGCACCGAGAACGTGTCCAGCATAATATGCTTTTATTTCCAATTCTGAATCTACCATGACGGATTGATGAAGCGTAACAGCGATAACTTTCTTCATGCAATCCTTTATCATTTGTGATGTGAAAAAGTTACTTTCGCCTTTACGCTCAACTGCAACCTTTCTCATGTCTTCTAATAAGATTGGCGCAATAGCCTTAGTTGGATGTGTCATATAAATTGGTCCAGTGTAACCTACCTGTATATTTTAAGAATAAATAAGAAGAAATGAAGATATGCAAGAAAATTGAAAAAGATACAACAAAGATAAAAAAAAATAATTATTGCAAAATAATTCTTGATGTTACGTTACCATCTCTGTAAAATATGGAAGAGCACCGCAATGATCTAAGTGAAAATGAGAGATAATGACACAGTCGATATAATTGGTCGCAGGTCCTTCTGGAACTATATAGGAAAAGTCTGGGAAGCGTCTCTCATCATTGAATCCCATGTGCATTCCACAATCCAGCATGATATTTTTGCCACCCATGGAGACAAGAATACAACTACGCCCAACATCCTGTCCAGCACCGAGTGGTGTAATTTTTATATCCGGCATTTCTGAAAAGATTAACAAAACATAGTATTATTTAAAACTTTAATGAAATAATCATATTACTTCTAAGGTAATGTTATTTGTTATTTTAATGTCCAAATGACATCTTTAATGTCACTTTTACGTCAAAATGACAAATGTCAGATTGTTACCTGAGTTATGTATACATACAATAAGATTTGTCAAGCATAAAATAGAAAATGGATGCTTATGAAACAAACGTGTGTACGTGTCTCAATATTTTTTTTACTGTAAATTAACAAATATATCTTTTATTTTTAAAAGAGCATCCTCTCTTAAAAGAGATTGACAGTATCAACTCGAACATGTTAATATCGTTATACCGCTTACTTAAAGCGATATCAGTTATTTGACTAATCTAGATCACAACAAATTGTTTTCTGAATTATAATCTTATTGTAATAGAAATAAAGGTTATTAGGATTAGGTTAGGCTTAGCGAAAGAGCGTTGCCAAGCATTATTAATGCACCGGTTCGTAAGTGCACAATGAATAAAACAGTTATTATATGCACACAGATCACAGTTGAGAATTAATGAGCAGATTAATATAAACATGTATCGAAAGTTGATTACATTTTCTTCAAAAATTATCAAGATCTCTCTCCTCTACACTTCTTAGCGCATACCTATTACACCGGATTGAAAATACAAAGACGAAATTTGTTTGCACTTTGCGAGGCAATCTGGACAACTTGATAAAAAAAAATTTTTTTCCTAGATAAAAATCCTAACCTTAAAAGGTTATCAGCATATGTGTTCCAAAACTCATATAGGCTGCGTTCGAAAACATCACTCGAGTGTCTCCGTGTATCATCTTATCCTTGTTTAACAATGGGTGAACAACAAGGATAAAACAATACGCGGGGGCACTCGAGTGATATTTTCGAACGCAGTCATATTCTGTTATCAAACGCAATCGCGCGCAGTATAAATTTTCACTACACACCGTTGTCTTGTTTTAATTATTCCGGTCTAATCATTTTTTTGTTATAAATATTTGCGTAAACAAATATTTCACAAGCGATACTCTATATACAAGAATGATAGCGTAGTAATTCGAAGTTATCTTTAATTCCTTTAAATTACATAATGCACTTATACATAATATAAATTTATATACAAATATTTTGTATATATTTCATCATATTATTCCAGATGTACAAAAAAGCAATTCAAATTTGTGGTCGTAATACTATGATTAATTACCTAATTGTAAATACTATATAATAGAAATTTCAGTCTATTTGTTTAACATAGCTAGATAATAGTATTATGCGTCCTTGGGATTGAAAAACTATATAATTTCCAAATGCTTCAATTTATTTAAGCAATATCAGAATGTTCAACATTACATTTAATAAATAGTATTCGCGTTTATATTAGTGCGATTACAAGGCTGATAAAATCATAAAAGTATATAAAGAAGATAACACTGTGTAATAGATACTCACTACGTACATCTATTATTTGATAATTATATATCGATATTATTCGGCAATTATTGTTTTTCAAACTTATTGTTGTCGCGCTGTTCTTTCTTAACTGTTATTTATGATTTCAGGTTAAAGAAACACATCTCATTGGCTGGCGATTAGACGATAAAGTGATATGAAAGAATACAAAATTTTTATTTGTGTGAACTATATTTAATTTAAAAATTATTGTATATCTAAAGCACTATCTTGAGTTTTCAAATTGCCAAGAAAAAAAAATAGAGAAGAGATAAAATAATTATGTGCGTTTTACAGTTCTTCGTCAAGATTGAAGTCCTCCTCTGGAAAATCTCCAACTTTTACATGCGCTGGCTTCACAAAACCTCCATATTTTGGAGCACATTCGAAATATTTTTTTCCACCGACACTATCAACAACACGATAAGTGTAAGAAGGGAAGAAAAATATTCAGATATCGTAATTAAATGGAATTAAATATATTTACCTCCCATCGTTCTTGCCAAGAGGCTCATCATATTTAACACCGATCCACCAGCCTTCTTTAAATTCAGTTTTACCTATAAACATTTATATATTAAAATAATAAAAATACTTTTAATAAAAATACAATTATGAATATATTAAGATTCTGACCAACATATAAGATAGTAGCTCTTCGCTTTGGCTGATTTGGGATAGATACTTCACAACGGTCTCCAACTTTGCACAAACTAGCTAAGCATTCCTCTGTTTCTTCTTCCAGTTTCTTCTCTTCTGCTCTTCTTTTCATATCTTCCTCATTATACTTTCCTAATTTATTCTTTTCTAGGAATGCCTTAACAGTGTCTGTTCAAGCATAAATAAAATACGTCTCATTCATCATTTAATTTGATATAAGATAAATATATAAGTCTCACCTGTTTTTTTGGCATATTCTTCCTCAGATATCTCAAACTTTTTCACATGATTTAAATCTTCTGTGGTACATGGGAAATTATCAATAACCTGCAATTTTCTTATATTTTATTTGCAATCTCACAATTTTGTACTTATAAATACTTGAAGTAGTTTCAATAAGACATAAAGCTTTCATATTATAATTTCTGTATTATGTTGTAGTATCTGTATATTTACATGTATCCTCATTCCATCATCTATTGGATATGATCCCAAAAGCCGTTGTTCTTCCTCCAATCTACAAACGAGCTTGTTGTTCTTGTCATAAACTTCAATGGTCATTGTAATTGGGTTACCACCAGTAAGAAGCTCCAATTTGCCCTATAATTTTGTCTTGTAAATTTCTATGTAGAAGAAAATTTTGGAAAAGAAGTGCTTTGCTTACCTTAAATTCATGGACGGTTATACCTTTTTGAAATCGACGTTCCACACAACACGATTCCTGACCAGAATTTGTGATTGATAAATTCACAAAGTCGGATGTAATCACGCTGCACGAGCTCATTTTATTTAATTTGATATACGATATTTGGCTACTACAGAATATAGGATTAAATGATTTCAAATGTTCGCGAATCTCTTATGTCATGTTTCAGATATTTCAGAATACAATTATAATAAATCTAATTTATGCAACTTTATTTTATATATAATTATATAAAATAAATTAACACCTAATATTTTGTACTCGCGTTAATTGCAAAACATGTAAACAAGCAACACTGACAGAACTTCCGAAACTTCGGCGAATGTCACAACATTATTGTTGAAAACAGAGAGAAATTCAGAAACCTGAGAGCGATCGGAGCGATCATTCCGGTTTTTAGTTGTGACTACATATATTATCGACATTGCTGATAAAGTAGTGTCGAAATACGATGTGGTGCGAGTCTGTGCTAAATTAAATATTTATATGTGGAACAACATGCTACGTTTACAAATTGTAAAGATAATATGCATATATAATTTTATGTATATCCTTACATTTACGTAATTTTTATTTTGCTACAGCCTACATGATCTCTACTTTAGATCTGTTTCTTTCAGCTGTATTTTTTATTCTTATCTTTTTCTTTTTTTTAATGACACGTTGACTTTTGAATACAAAGCATGTCAAAGTATAAAATAAACACACGTTATAAAAAATAATTTGTAAATAATATTTAAAAATGCACATTATATAACATTGATTCTTATATGCATGAACTTCTTCATAATTTTTCTTTTATATTGTTATTTATGTTTTATAAAAGTCTAGAAAAAAATAAAGAAAATTATAAAAACAGCAGGAATAATTAAGTTATATTTTTAATTACGTATTTCAATATTATGATTTGTTTTAGAACTCAATCAAATAACAGTACAATGAATATTTATTATCAATTATTTTATATACACATTTTTTCTTTAAGAATGTATACACATATGTGCATCTGTATACGTCATTGAAATTAAAGAATTGGTCTTCAGGCAATTGCGTCTTAAAGACAGAAAAAAAGAGGATAAAAAAAAAGGAGAGAATAGAAAAATATCTATTTATAAAATATTTCACGATTAAAAAATTAGATTAAATAGATATTTTATCTTTGACACTATACTATAATAATTAGCTGCATGGATAATAATTTGAGGGATAAAAATAATGTAAAAATAATGTCTTTGTCAAAATTCATCGAAGTTATTTATTTGAAACTCGTATTTAAGCTGATTAAATCGATACGCTTTTGTTGTATTAATGTGCATCATAAACAAAATATCAGCAGTAATTACTTCAATTTTAATTTTATACATAAATTAATTCCAAAATAAAAAATATACAAGACAGTGAAACTGAAAATAATGTGGCTGTACAGTTGTGGACAAAAGAATTGTCTTTCTTTTTTTAATTTCATCTTTTACAGAACTCGTAAGAACTCGTAAGAACATCCTTATAACTTTTATACAATCTAAAACTCGTCGAAAAACAAAAATATTGTAATCCTTTTATCCACAATTTGTTAAAAACAAAACTATATATTACCGTTTTACTTGTACAGCAGAAAAACGTTTTCATATCTATGTATAGCACATGTATATCTATATTAATTTGTTTACACTTTATTCCAAAGCAATTATAATTATTATACAAGATAAACGCATGTCTCTTTCTTCTCTCACATTGAGTCTTAAAACAGAAACATGCTTTTAAGAAATTGAATTGAGATTTTTCATTATTTTTTTAATGATAAAGCACACAATTGATTGCAGAAAGGACATTAGGAAAGTTTCTCCCTTTTTCTATTCTTTTTTTTCCAAGAATAATAGGTGATATTTGTGTTATTTTCCAAACAAATTTTCTCCAATGAAGAATCTCCGACAGTGGTTTGAACTTAGTACCACGTCTCTCTTTAGAACAGTGGTAGACAAAGTGAAGATCATGCTGCTGATCGCCAATGTCCTGCGAAGACAGGGTACGTGAAGAAGAATTCTCCAATGCATTAAACTGCTTGAGTTTTATTACAATATAGCTTTACCATTAGTTTGAAGCTCCTCGCTAACATTGGCCATTTTTTAATTTATTGAAGCAGTAATTGATGCTTCTTACAAAAGTTTACCCTTCAATATCTCATAAACCATTTTGTTCCTAAAGTACGGCATATCATCCTGTGTAAACGTTATCTTCTTATTTGCGCAGGCATATTCGGCAAACATACAAGAGAATACGCCACAATCGCTGCCATTCATCTGTTGTGGAATGTTCTTGGCTGATTGCAATTTCCAGTCGCTCATATCATAAGATTGTTTCTTTTTGTCTAAACTCTCATCCTGTAAATATTGTTTTAATGTGGCTAAACATTTTGGGTTACTACCGCCCATACTGTCATAATAAACAATCGATTTATTCCTGAAATCTATTATTGACATACACCAGTGAATGTCCAGATGTATCGGCACAACTACAAGATCCTGCGCGAATATGTCTACTTTTCTGGTCCATCGCTTCAGAGACGAGTGACCACCCGATAGAAGTTTTGGATAAAAAAATGTATTCATTGCGTGCACCTTTGGATACTTGTCGGAAGACGTGCCTCTGGCAATTAATAGATTCATATAGAAGTTTATTACTTCATCGTTTAGCCAATTTAAGTCGGCTAGCGTGCAAAGATCTTTTCGCGTGAGCCTTAGACCAAAACCTTCTGCAAGAACCTCGCCTGGAGGACATGGTATAATGGCGCTTCTCACTTCTTTCAACATCTCATTGGTCAACGTCGGCAAAGCTGGCTCTTCCTGCTCCTCTCTATCATCTAGGACAGCCAGGTATAATTTCATAGAACGTGCCAATTGTTCTTCCAGAGCTGCTTCTCGTGCATATCTATTGTGCTTCGACAAGACGCATGTCATCTTCTTCAGTTCTTCAGCCTCTCTGTGCCGTTGCTCAATCCGTTCGTTGTATCTCTTAGTAACTTGCGGGATAAAGTCTTGTCTCATGACGGGTTTCGCAGCTAGCTCGTCACGCAATGAGTTAGTTGCAACAACTTCGACAGGTAACTTTGGCGTAGTTTTCGCTAATCCACTGGTACTGGGTCTATCAATTGTAATTACTCTATTGGATTGCTGATACGCCGTAATACCTTTCTTGCAGTAATTTAAAGTAGGAACTTTTTCTTTATCTGTCCTAGAATAATTTGACATGCAAACTCTATTATGGCATGACGTCGATATTTTAGACAAGTTAGCGACAGATGATTGAATCTTGCTGGATGTCATGATTTCTGGTTGCTTTTCTAAGTCGATAACTTCTATGGGTTTGCGCGCAGGTTTATCTGTAAATACCTGTATCCTATTTGGAAACAGATTTTGAAGCATTTCTTCATATTGATATTTCTCTTTTAATTGATTAGTTTTTGATAATGTGGGAGACTTGTGATAGATATCCGGCATCCTATGTTTGTGATGAAAAAAGTGCTCCGTTGTCGGTTTATTGTGATGCAACATAAAGCAAGTAGACTTACAAGTGGGAGTTTTGTAATATTCGAAAGATTGCGGTTGCTTCTTATGAGTACCGTTCATCTGTGCGCATGGTTTTATCGATGAGCATTTCTGCTCACCCATGTATATAATATCATCGTCATCACTGTCATCAATGGTAAAATACTGTTCCATTGTACGAGCTATATTACAATTGGATTTAAATTTCTTAGATGTTATATATTCTTCTTCAAAGTTACAGTCCTCAGCTTTCCGTTTCTTAGAACCTTCATCTACCCATCCGAAGATCTTCTTCAGAAAATCAAATATTATAGACATGGTTAACACATGTATATATCCTGATCTTATTATTGTCCATTCAACATATATTACTAATGTAGCTCAATCTAAAAAATAGAAAAATAAATTCTTACATATAATGTATTTGTATTGATTATTATGTACTCATTGATATAAAGCAAATATAAAACTATATAGTAAACTTATAATATAACTAATATAACTGTATCATACAAAATTATTTCCAATTGAAATAATTTGCTTGCACTATCCTGTACTGATGCACAATAAAAATAACTTATAATTGGAGTAAAATATGACTGAAAGATACACAATTTTACATTGGAGAAAAAAAGAGAAAGGATAGAAAATACTATAGAAATATACCACAGGAAAAAATTCAGCTACACAACCTTAAACATAACTTAACATTACAAAAACATAGCGAAAACATATATTTTGACCGAAAAAAGGCACCCGACGTGAATGTCATTGCATTTTAACGAAATATACATACACGAAATGACATTTCATCGATCAAGGGATTTCTACTACACACTCTTGAATTTAGATGTTTCTTTATGTTTAAAAATCTAGAAAGCACCAGTGCGGAATAGCGCAGCAGTCGAATTCATTATAAATTTTTAATTATGCAAACGTATACGCATCGACGTGACGTAAAATTAACCTCATCGCGCAGCATGCGACACCGTTCCGGTTGATGCTTACTTTCGAGAATTGCGTTGAATTCACCGTATGTGCCACAGCAGCTTAACCCTAAACCCGGATGAAATTTTTTTGTCCTGCCTCTCAAACGTAAGATTTGTCATCCATAAACCGTTTAATTTGGCAATATCACGAACATAACCCAGCGATGGCGTATTCTCTTATTCTCTACGTATCGCGCTCAGCACCATACATGACCATACTTTGCAAGGTTGCAACATTTATGAGGTTGAAGCAGGCTGACCACTCCCGCGCATTCTTTTTTTTTCCGAGACTACTCGAGCGTTCTCTCTCCCTTTTTAGCTATGTGACAGATCTAATTTGATTAATTTCGGAACAAAACGAGGGAAAAGCTGAATTTCGAATAACAAAATTATTCCGTTACTTTGCGAAAGTAGCAAATGATTAATGAATTATTCTTGATTTTTTTGTAAGGCCCTGCGCACAATAAGAATAAATAAAGAATTAGGAATAAAGAATAAATGATTTTAACCTATCAGAAATCGGATACATCAAAATACACAGTTTCTGTGATGGGTTGAAATCATTATTCTTTATTTCTAATTCCTTAAGGTGCTTTTTCATGCTAACGCTCGACCGGCTCGACACTCATTTTCAGCGTCAAAAGAGATCACGTGATAAAAATTGACAAATATCAAGCGTCAATTTTAATCACGTGACCTATTTTGACGCTAAAAATGAGCATCGAGCGTCAGCATGAAAAGGTACCTTAAGGTTTGTTCGCGTCGCGTACTCCACATGCTTCAGCATGTTCCTACTCTTCCTAGTCCTACCATAGCTCTTACTCATTCTAACGAGCACGTTTGAATGAGTAGAAACTACGGTTTCTATGCGACGCGAACAAACCTTTTAATATATATTTAATTCGATTTCGCACTTCTGTGTATTCGCCGTGATTCGCAGTCCAAGTCATTCCAAGTTCATATAGATCATACTCCATCCAACTCCATCGCAGTCCTCAGAAAGTATCAGAAAGTATTGCAGAGTTTTGCGTGGTCTCTGATCTTACATGATCTTACAATAAAGTTTTACTTTGTTGTTTTCATTTCGACTCGTACATTTATGATAAACAATTCTTATATTGAAAATAAGATGTGATAATATATTGTAACTACAAAATTTTGTAAGAATAATGTAATTATAATTAATTATACTTATAAAAGATTTTTTTAAGATACCGATGTCTTATCATTATGCCGCTATAAGTTTTATTTAAATAAAGTAGTACTTGAAACACGTTACGATTTGCTACATTTGAAATATATTTCCAAACATTGTTTATAAGTGATTCATTGGGTTGATTTTTTATTTTATTTGTCTCAATATTCTTGCAACGTAAAGAATTTTGTACTTCAAGAGAAAAAAATATACTAGAAAAACGAGATTCGGTCTCATGAGTAATAATAAGGAAGGATTTATTGCTGTACATGTTGGTACGTAATTATTTAGACTATTTATAATTGATTTGTACATAAATTATTATAACTTATCTTTTTTTTTGTTGACAGGTGCTGGGCAGCACTCGGCGTCACTCAAAGAAAAGTATCAAAAATTATGTCGTGATGCATGCAAAGTGGTAAGATTTTCGAGCAATTTAATGAGCTAATACAGGTTTAATTTTCTCGAAATTCTATATTTTTCTTACGACTGTTTGTTCTCTCAGGGAGCTCAAAGTTTGAAGTCTAATGGCAATGTATTAGATGCAGTGGTCGAAGCAGTAATGATATTGGAAGATTCTCCTATGACAAATGCTGGATTCGGATCAAATCTTACGTTGAATGGCACAGTGGAGTGCGACGCAAGTGTAATGGATGGTAGCAGTTTGCAGTATGGTGCAGTCGGTGCAGTTAGCGGAATAAAAAATCCTGTTTTGTTGGCAAAGCGTTTGTGTGAGCAGCAATCCATTAAGTTTGCATATGGCAGAATTCCTCCTAGGTGTTGTTTTAGTTTTAATATGTTTACAATTGTATTAAAATTATTGTTATATTAATTTTTATTCTTTGTTATTAGCTTTTTAGTTGGAAATGGTGCACATATTTGGGCACACGAGATGGGCATACAAATTTTACCTTCAGAACAATTAATATCAGGTATATAAAATTAATATAAGTTTTTAACAAACCACAGAAATTGATTTATAATTATATAAATTGTAACATTTATTTTTTTATGTGTATCATTTATTTATCTAATATATTTTTCAGTGAAAGCTCAAAAGATATATAAACATTATAAAAGAAAATTAGAAAGCTGTAGTGCAGAAGTTCAAAAGGTATGAAGAAGTTATTTCTCATTTATATTTTAATGTGTGTGTGTGTGTGTGTGTGTGTGTGTGTTATTTTAAGTAAAATTTAGTATTTATTATTTAATTATTATACTGCAGTGTGCTAAGAAAAGGATGGACACAGTAGGAGCAATATGTGTTGATAACAGTGGAAATATTGCTGCAGCTTGCTCAAGCGGTGGTATAATTTTAAAATATCCAGGAAGAGTTGGACAAGTACAATTTCGTTATTATATCAATATTTATATAATTAATTTTTTAATATAAATTTTATTATACATTATCGTGTAGTTTATCAAACCTTTTTATTATAATCCTAGGCTGGAGTATGGGGCTGTGGTACCTGGGCTTGCAAAGATACTTCGTATTCAGTAGGTACTAGTACTTCAGGTTGTGGAGAGCATCTTGTGCGCACCTCATTAGCGCGTACAATCGCAGAAGCTATTTCAGATACATCTTGTCCAACTACAAGTTTACATCGTGCGATGAGCACAGATTTCATCGGTATGCCGCAGATTTAGCATAATTGCATAGTGATTAATAAAAATAATGACAGTCTATTTATATTTCTCTTTAGATTCGAAATTTCTCTGTGGACTTGAACAAAAACTTGGTGGTGTCATCGCGGTACGATATTCTCCACAAGAAGGCTTAGGCGATTTTCTCTGGAGCCATTCCACAAATTCTATGATAATAGGTTATATGAATACATGTGAACGTGCATCAATGGTACGTATTACTTTTTTTTGCTTAATATCGTAAAATATATATATTACAAATATGTGATATTTTTATTTGTAAAGACTAATTATAACATTTTTTAATAATTACAGCCTGCAATAAATTCATTGCATTAGATATTACAAATTTTTGTTAGGATATTGACATCATACTAAATTCAAACTCAAAGCTAGAAAGTTCCTAACATGTACCAATTTTTTAGTCTTGTACCATATATGTTTATGTGATATCATTTTATAAATAATAAAATCACAAAACAAATGAATAATATTAATATTTCCATATATGTAACAGTATTTACTACATATTTAGAATATCTATATATTAAGTTAAATTAGAAATTAATAATTGTGGAAGATGTATCACTTACTTTTAACATTTTGTATTTGTTTTACTTAATCTGTTATATTTTAATGTTTTTTTATTTAAAAATATGAGTACAAAATATTAAATATTTTACATTTAAATATATTTCTAATATAAAATTTAAATGTTCTACATGTAACTATATTTTTTATAATATTATATATGGTTATTGTGATTTTGGTAAAATTCCATGATGGCGCAACAAATGGATTTTTGGATTCAGTATATCAATTTTGTGTTAAATCACTTTACAAGTTCAGGCACTGATCAGAAAGTTTTAATTTGCACGCTAATGTTAGAAATCTGAGATGAGTTTGATTTGTTAAAAAAATTAATTTTTTGTTTACAGAGTTACATGTCGGCCTTACCATCACATGAAGTAGGTAAGAAAGCTATTGTTGAAGGAGTATGCTTTAAATTAGCGGAATCCGATAAAATCTGAGAATAATTGACTCAATGAAAGGATTTGTCACGAAAATCAAACAAAAAGTTGAATTTTCAGAAAACAAAAAACGTATCTTGAAACTATTTATTATATAAATATATTATATAAATATATTATATAAATATATAATAATAATTAATAATGTTATATTTTTCTTCAAACATGATTATATAAAATATTAAATAAAACCTAAAACTATTAAGGTATGAAAACAAACTTTTAGGTTTTGGTTAATACTTTAAAATTTATTTAAAGGAAATAAAAATTTTCTAAATTTGTTTGATTCTTGCGAAAAATTTTATTTACTATCTATTTATCTTATATTTTCATGTATCTTTTTTTATAACATTAATGATAATAATGAAGAAAAATACATTATTTAAAGTATAAAGTAATAATTTATTCTTTTATTTATAAAATTTTACAAATTACTTTTAAAAAAAATATTTGTTGCAACTATTAAATTCTTATATTTCCCGGTTTCTGTTTTTGATAAGATAATTTATTACTTAATGGAATAAAATAGTTCACAATGCGACTAATAAAGAATAATTTGATGCGAAAGAGATAAAAAAATAAAGTTGTTTGATTTTTGTGGAAAATCCTTCAATTATATAATTTTAGATGTAATAAGCATTTATAAAAAATTATTTATTAATCTAAAATACTCTATATACAAAAAATTTTTATACAAAACCATTTATTTCATAAAATATGAAAATGAATATTGAATCATTTTCCAGAATCATAACTCTCTCTCTCTCTCTCTCTCTCTCTCTTTGTACAGTAAACAAATTTTCCTAACTTTTATATTAGTATATATTTTATTGTATATTTTATAGTCAACTTATATAAATACAATGATTACTATTAACAACGAACCCAAATACATTTTAATTAATAAATATGTACATTCTTGATAAACTAATCTTTCTCTTCCTTTTTAATAGAAGAAATTCCGATCTCTAAAGAATCATATTATTTTTATTTATATTAAATTAACTTCCATGATTACTTTGAAATATTATACACAATTTTTTTTTATAAACTGCCTATATCGTTAAATCGTTTTAATTTCTCTGGAAACACATCTTTAAAGAGTACCGGATCTGCACGAAATTCAACTGATTCCAACGGCATAGTTCCATAAATAGAAGAAAATTTGTTTATACACTGTGTACGTTCCACCATATGCGTCAAATCCGCAGATAGCATTTCAGTATTGGTACACTCGGGACATCGAAATTTTTTCTTTGGTGTCACCTATAAGATTTTATATAATTTTTAAATAATACCAATACATTTTGTCAAAAGTCTTACCTTTAACGGAGCTTTTCCAGTAATATTTGCTACCAAAAAATTCATTGCGATGTCCTC